AATTAAGTGTAAAAATAAGTAAATACATATAATTTATCATTTTTATTTTATGACTAATTTTCTTTGTCAGGTAATACAGTACTGTACCAAATATCTGACAAACTTGGGATCAGAAGCAGTCTGGATTTTCCAGTTTTCTGGATGTGGGCTAAATATATACTTAAATTTCAAAATAAACAATGGAAAGTAAAGAACAGAATTGTTTTTAACATACCATGAGACAGCAGTCTTACTGGAACCAGTGTTGTGTGATGCCTAGGCCATAGAAACAAAACAAAGTGGTATGTGACGAGATACAGCTGTAACTACAACTGCCAAATTCAAAACCAACCAGTTTTCTGGTAATTCTGAATTTTGGAAGGCAGATATTTGGTTCGGTACTATAATAATAAAATAAACTCAAAAAAATTAAACGGAAAATGTTAATAATTTTAATTAATATCCACCCAAAATCATATTTTTGAAACACACTAAAATCTATTTAGAGGCAATTCTGTAACAAGATGGATCCTAAAAGGTCATAAATAAAATACAAGATGTGTTCAAAAAGTTGAGGATTGAGTCAAAGAATCAAAATGTATTAAGATATAAAGAAATTTTTTGATATTTTTCAAAATAATCTCACAATTTCTTTAATTTGAGAAAAATTGGCTTTTTCAGATACAAAGAAGCTAATTTAAATAACTATTATGTGCATGTGTACGAGAGAATTCTACAATTACTATCGGGAAAAGGCATGTAAATTATTAAAAAAATTGCTTCTTGATATTTATTGTTTTGTCTGCCCATTCCTGGAACTTTTTGGGCATAACTATACTTAAATAACACTAGTTATAAAAATGCTTAGTTTATATTATAAGTTCAGAAAGTAATCTCTCATATCAAACTGATTATTTAGAAACAATGGAATGTAATATATCCTTGAAGAATTTATGTAATATAAAGGTCTCGCAGTACTTGCAGCAATGTCCTGCCCCCGTAGTCGCCTATAGCCAGTTGCAATCACAATTTCGGTAATTCATTCACTGTTCTTGTTTCAGTTAACTGATTTTTTGGCCACCTTATGTATATGTTAAACCCACAACAAGAAGGTAACAAAATTAATACTTATACTTTATTTTAGACTTTAATCCAAGGTGATTTAAGTCTAAAATTATGATGAGAAAATAATTGATATAATTGAATATATATAAGTTTGAATATAATATAAAAAGCAATAAGTAATTAATAATATAATATTTTACTCTCAATCAAAAGAAAAAATACTTTTAATAATGTCATTTTTATAAGAAAATTTGACTTACTTTTGTCAGTTCGTAGAATTTCGATTTGGGGTCAGATCGATTCGGTGCAGATCTTACTCTATCCGGAAGCTATAAAATGTAACTTCTGTTAATTTGTGCTCGGTATACATGCATATACATATAAACCATGCTGAGGTAAAAGCCTATAAACAACACAGAAATATTATAATATTTATAATAACACAGAAATATTATAATATTTATGTGTTGTTTATAGGCTTTTACCTCAAATTATAATATATAATATTAGAGACACACAAAATAGAACCAAAACTCCAGCAGGAAATTCATTTTCTGCTAGAGTTTTGGTTCTCTTTTGTGTTTCTGAGGTTAAAGCTTAAAGTTGGCCAAGTGCCATAAAGGCCTCTAGTGTGTAGTCATCTCTGATTGGCACAATGAGTTAGCCCTATTCTTCAATCTGCTATATTTATTTAACCTGGAAGTGGAGATCAGATGAGTGTCCGGCTAGCATAATCGTTAACACATTTATATGGTAAGCAGAAGTCGCAAGTTTGAGTCATATTCCAGATCGATCTTTTCTTCTAGAATATTCTAAATTATTTATTTAGTTCTAATTATTAACTTAATAAAAGAGGGTGACGTATTTGCCTGTCTTCAATCCAAATTGTGTAGCATTTGTATATTTAATTAGCTAAATGTAGCCTGATAATAAATCCAGCTTGATTATTTGACAGAATCATAAGATGGATGATTGTTTTATCTTTTTCTGTCTTGAGAATTCTCTATTATCAGGCCAAGTTTTCATTCATTATATCACATTTAGATCACTTTACTACTCTTTAATACTAATCTAATGGTCATTGTGTAGTGACCGTATATAACCAATGGTATACAGTACAGTATGTTAGACCAATACAGTACAGACGAAAACAAAAAAAGTAGAAGTTGTTTAAGTATAACAAAATTAATGATTGCATTTAACTGATACAATTAATAGGTACATTTGCTAATAAAGAATATTAAATAATTATTCTGTTAAAAAAATACATAAAATGCAAACAAAAGAATATATTGCTTTAATACAAAACTAAACCTGTCCTTATTTCATTTAATGCACTAAATAAGGTACAAATGCAATGCTGGATGAGGCTGTTAGGATCTTATGGAACCATAGACCATGCCCGTAGGAGTAAAAAAGTCAAAAGGAACCGATGATCTATGGGTGAGCCTTTGCAAGATATAGCCCCCAAAATCAGCTTGTTAAACATGCAATAAGCTTAACAAAGTGTGCATTGTGACTCCCGGAATTAGTCGATACAATGGCATTTTGCATGTTTTACAAACCTTCAGCAGTCTCTAGTAAAGTGAAAAATGGCCAATTTTTAGCATTGTTTTGAGAAATAGTCCTGGATTTAAATTTTACCCCATTTTTCTGGGGTTTTCAAAATTCCATATAGGCCAATTTCGGGAGACTATCTCATGAAGGATCACACGTAGACTATTGGTTCCTTTTGACTTTTTCACTCCTGTGAGCATGGTCTACAACTCTGATAAGAGCTATAGACCATGCCTACTCCAGCTTCATTCAGAGCTGCATTTGTATCCTAATTTTGCAATCCTATATTAAAATTTTAAAACACTTACCTTCCACAGCTTTAAACATTCTTCTCTTAAATCACTTTGTTTTTCTTCATATAAATCACTAGAAAGATAATTAATAAATTATCATTTCTTATAATATAAAAATAAAAATAAACTGAAACAGACTTTTATATAATTGAATATGAATATGATTTATTTAATACCAAATAATTTACATTTGTATTCAGTTTTAATGACTTGGTAATAACTGGAATCGAAATTAAGTTTGTGAAATTTAACTGATAAATAAAATTAATAATACTAAGTGGAGATATTGAATTAAATCTGGGATCTTTATCTCGAATGTCTATTAAAGATAATTGGATAGTTTCTTTGTAGGAGGAGAAATTAATAACTTGAAACTCTCTATAAGTCAATAGTTAGATATTGCTTCCTCTGATGAATGCTTAGATAACAGAATACATCAAACAGAAATAGAATTCAATAGCTAATGCTAGAGCATCTAGACTTTTTGATGGGTTCAGACCCGATAATCTTAAATCCAGGCAACAAATCCACTTATGTTACTTCCAGAATGGAAATTCTGGATCTCACTCTATCTTCCTCTAATTTAGGTAACAGAGTGGTGGATTGGCACATCTGATGAACTTTCCCTATCTGATCACAGAACACTATTTTCACTCTTGTCTTCTAGCCTAAGAAGGATGAAAGAGGATCAATTGGACACTTTTTAAAGAATGTCCGTCTTCCGGATGGGGTTGCTTCTCTTGTCAATTTGGTGCCGTATTAGGCTTTGAGTTGGCTGCAGACCTCGAGCCACAGCACATTCTCGAATCCTACGCTATTAGCTGTCATACTCGAGAAAAGTTCGTCCATCTTTTAGTTCTCGGTGAAACAAGGAGATGAAGTTTTCTGAGGTCTTCAACTTGGAAGTTATTGAACCAAGCTAAGTGTATTGTTGCTTGACGGCTTTACCATAAAGATCTTGCCTAGTATAAAAAAAACTCTTAGAAGAGCAAAAAGATCTTTGTGGAGGTCCTTTTGTTCAAACATTTCTAATGTTTCTAGAAGTTTTAGATTCATGAAGATTTCAGCTAAGAAATCCTGCTCTGAACCAGGTCTCTTGATTCTTTCCAGTAGTAAGTATTCAACCTCTGCTCAGGAAACTATTCTCTATTTACTTGAGACGCATTTCTTAGGCTATAGAGTCTCTGGAGTTTTCTAGGCCTCATCCAGACCCAATAGGTAGGCTTACCATAATATTTTTTTCTCAAACCAGGACAATTTTGAGAAAATACTCACAACAGAAAATAAAGCCTAATAGCATAAGCTTCTATGATTGAAAAGCTAAGTAAAGACATTGTTAACAAAAAACAGCAAAGAGTTAAAAGCAATTTTTAATAACTCAACTAAACATAACTTATTATTAAGAAGTTATTAATATTTATCACTAGTGTGAACTTTCTTTAAAAATTCTTTGTTATTTTTAATGGCATTAAAAAATTTGCTGCAAATTAGTTCACTGTTAATTTTGCAGTGTAGTAAAGCTTTCATGGTTGATTCAAGCCATTCCACCTCTTTCTTCAGACCATATGATATTCATTATTGAGAATATTCTTTTGACTGGTGCAGATGTGCCTGGCGTGCTGAAAATGCATTCTAAAATTTGAACAAGATTGGGCAATGAAATGTTCTTTTCTTTGAAATGACTGAAAAGTTGTATCCATTTTTCTTCACAACTTGTATTTTTCCAAATTTCATAGTTAGCTGACCAAAAAGCTTTTGCAATCACTACTTCATCAAACAGTTGATCCATGTTTATTGTATTATTTGCAACAGTTTCATTAATTTTTTCACCTGAAGCTTCAATTTCAGACCATGTTAATTCATTATTATTAACTAAAGTAAAAGATTCTGCTCCACCAAAACTGTTTTCCCATAGCTCAATGTAAGAAATACATCTGTATAAAATGTTGTAAACTCTTGTAGGATTGTATTGATATTAATACTTCCATTATTTTCTAGTATTCTAAAATGTTTTTTGCTTTTTGAGGTATAAATTTATTATCATGCCTTTTCTCAAGGTTTGTTTTTAATTTTCCAAGTTCACTGACAATATCAGTTGCACTCGCTTTTGTCTTTCCATAATCAAGATAGCTTTGTTAAACAATTTGAGTTGCCCTTGCACAAACCATAAATACGTTTCACCACAATCATTATCAAAAAATGTTTTATCATCACTGGACAGTGTTCTTGTGAAATAAAATAATATTTTAGTCCTTCATAGATTTCAAGTATTCTGTCAATCAATAGCTGGAAGTAGCAAAAGAAAACGGCTGTTGCCGTGTTGAAGAACCTTTTTTTTGTACTCTAAATTTACATTCACAGAACTCTTTTAGCTTGAGTGACTTGAACCATATAAACGTTCAAAATTTATATAGAAAAATTTATAAATTTTGACCACTAAAGCTTCTATTTCAATAGGTAGAACATCAACTGCAGTTTGAAGGCAGTTGTGTATGATGTGAGCACCACAACCAATGCCACAACAATATTCCTTCCTAGTTCCGCCTTTAATTTACTTGTAAATATTGTTTTCTCCTCCATGTTTAACAACCCCAAAATTAGTATTGGAATTATCTCCACAAAATCCAATAATTTTTTTTGCTATATTATGAGTTTTAATAACTGATATTAAACAGTTTGTCAGTATTTCTGCAGTTTCAACAGGAACTGATTGAAAGTCTAAAAGTTTAACTTTTATGCCACAATCTGGTACAAAATACCCCACAACGATTGGCACAATTTTAATTTCTTTCCTGTTGGAAGAATCTACTGATACCGTCACAAAATTTGTTTTATTTAAATCTTCGCAAAGCTGCTGAAACAACAGTGGCTCAATCATATTAACAATGACGGCTTCACATTTTGTTCTGGCTAGTCTAAACTTTGTTTCAGAGCTTCATAATCAATTTAGATGAACAATCGACTGACTCAAAGCTGAGATTGTGAATAGCAACATGAAATGCAAAAGTTGCTCCTTTAGCTGCTATTAAAAATTCTTTGTCACTTAAATCGATACCTTTAAAATATGACAATATATTCGAGGAAGTTCCTTCTGCTGCTACTAGGCTTGCCTCATGTCTCACACATTTCAAGTGATCTTTTTATGTCCAAACGTCCACGAGTTAGTGAAAATTCTGAAAAGCACAGTTCACATTTCACATTGTCAATATGATCACAAACTTTTTTCAAAAACAGATAATCCTTTTTTAATTCATCGGTAAACACAGTTTCCTTACGGCATTTTGGAGATTAAATTAATGTACAGTACAAAATAATTGCAAATGTCGACTAGCAATTTGCAATTATATTGACTAAGATAGGACATGCACAGCAATGACGTGCCAGTATAAGTTTCAATGTTGCCAACTCTAATTGAAACAAAATATCTAAAAAATGAAATAAAAATATCTGGATCTCATAGGCTGTTATAAATTCTGTGAAAATATATCTGGATGAAAAAATAAAACATCTAAATTCATTAGGCCACATGTTATAAATTTTGGATGAAAACATCTAGACAACATTAAAAGTACTTAGATCTAGATACAAAATATTTAGATTGGCAACAGTGAGTGTAACCAAGGGAATTTTTAAGTTGCCAAATTGCCATTTTACCTGAGGCTGCACTCTTTTTACTTCTTATATATTTGGCATCTTTAAAATTTTACCAAATAACCAGGATAAAATAACAAACTGGCTGGGACACCGGGACCACATCATCAAGCCAGGACAATCCTGGTCAAAATGTCTGGTAAGCCTACCAATAGGGAATTTTGGAGAAAGACTAGATTGGTGGTTTCTAGTGCTAAGATTAATTGGGGCACATGCTCCTTTTTCATCTGGGTTGCCTGGGGGTGCTGTTTACATTTCAATGAGCTGGCTATCCATAACAGGGTCATTCTCTTGTGGGGTGCCAGAACATGTGACTATTGCTGACAATGTAAGTGCTGATTTACTGACCAAACATAATGCTTCTTATCTCTATATTGGGCCCAAATCAGCTTTCGATATTTCTTATAATACTTTCTTTAGAGCTGTTAAAGATTGGACTACTTCCAATCATTCTAAGTACTGGAGGTTAATTCCTGGTGTAAAGCAGAGGAAGACTTTTTGTCTAGTCTGCTCTCTGGTAAAACTAAAGACTTTCTGTCTTTTTGACAAGAATCATGATCACTTTTTGATTGATGTTATGACTGGTTTTGTTACTTTTATAAACATCTGTGCTGACCAAATCTTTCCTCCTTGACTTCTTACCTCTTTTGTAGCTCTGCTGAGGAGACTCCTCTGTATCCCATTTGCGAGTGTGCAGTTCTTTGCTCGAATAGACTTGTTAATGTGGATTCCACTTTGCCAAAATAAATTCCCTCAACTTTCCTTCAAAAGTCTGCTGTTTTTTTTAAAGAGTTCATACTTTTGAAATAATGCCGTGTAGTGCATGATGGGTCTTTCGGGTTAAAGTGCATTTGGCCTACTGCCTCCACTCATATAATAACAACAACCCTCTGTTTCTGATATGATGTCATCACTGATTTTAAGATATTCATAAACTATATTAATTTTATTCTAAAATAAGTTCTAATGTTTTAAAACTATCATCTAAAACAAACTATATAATTATAAAGTTACTAGGGGATTTGCTTTCCTGCTTGCTTCATTTGCTCTCCCATGAACTTCATCTGCTTGTTAAAAAATTTTACAACAATTCATCAATTTTTGGAGCTGCCATTTCTATCTTTTTTTCTTTTGTGACAGAAAAATGTGTCATGATGATTTTAAGATTAATTTTAGAAGTTGTTCTGAAAACTTTAAAATCTATTATAAGATCATTTATTAATAAATGATCTTATAATAGATTTTAAAAATAAAAAATTTAAATTTATATGTCTCATTTGATAGAATAGGATTTGTGTAAGCAACAGAATCTGCCATTTTGTCTACATCATGCAAATACTACATGATCTTTTTGTTTGGTCTTTTCCGGCATGCCTGATTGTAATGTCTGAAGACGAGATTATGCATCATTTTGAAACACAAGTGCAGGTCATCTTTTGACAGGTTTTAGTACAATTGTGCAACTCATTAGTCAAGAGTAATTTATAGACACATTCTTAATTAGGGAGTGCTTCCAGTTTGCAGTAACATGCTTGGATTTTTATTCTTGGAGGGCAAAACATGAAAGACATTAATTTTTAAAATTTTGCAATAGATTTCAGTAGGACATATAAGCAGAAGTTTGGTGAGAACACATAATTACTTGGCAAACAACCAATTCATGTTTAAAGAAACTCCCAATAATAGTCGGTACAGGTATGCTTGAGTAATTATTTCAGGATAGGTGTACTGGCAGGCAAGGAGATTTTAGGTCGAGTTGGTGCCCGCTCATGCTGCATCCTAGCACCATCTGCAAACACTCGCATGCATCGTTGCTAAAAAGTAGGCTTATTCCAAAGTTTAAAAGATTTTTCTGTAGTTTTCGGCACTTAACAGTGAGTTCGTAATTTACGCAACTTCTACAGAAACTGTGCCAACTATTGCAGCTTTTTCACTGCTGTTAAATTTAATAACGTTTACACAAAATAAAATGTATTTAGTAACAAAAAATATTTATACTTACGTATTTTGTGCGAAAGCTTTTATTTTTGCTAAATGAATAATCTGTTGCTCTCCTAATCTGGAAATATTAAACAAACAATAGCTTATAAATCGTAAATGAAATGAAATTTAAATGTTGTAAATATGTTAAATATGTAAATTGTTAAATATGTTCAATCATCAATAGTTTCAATAAAAATAAAAATTTAACCATTTCAAAAATAATTTAATTTTTATTTATTTTGTTAGGCAAAGATAAAAACATTTTGTTACNCAATCATCAATAGTTTCAATAAAAATAAAAATTTAATCATTTGAAAAAAATAATTTAATTTTTATTTATTTTGTTAGGCAAAGATAAAAACATTTTGTTACTTAAACAACAAAATTGTAAGATTTTATATAAATTAAAAAATTGCTTTTGTGTCTATCTGAAAATTTATCATAAGGATTCAAATTTCTGCAAATGTCTTCCTATTTAAAAATAAATTAAATTAATAAAAATAATTCTGTAATCAGAAAGCTCTGAGGGACTGTTCAAGTATTATGTCAGCAAAAATTTGCCCTTTTTTGATCCCCCTGCTCTCATCACCAGTCATCAAAAATCAAGTACCTCTTCCTCTTCCCCTAATTAGGCTATTGAGCCAGAAGTCAACAACATTTGTACATACATGGGAACTATTTTCAGACAGTTGTATCTGTTTATAACACTTTTATTTATTGTGCAGCTATGAGCCGACAATTACGACCTTCAGTTTACGGACTGACGCGTTGGAAAATATAAATTCTTGTCA